GCCTTAAACTGCTTCACCCTACATAAACCCTAAACCCCAAATCCTGAACTCCCTAAGTACCCCTGAGCCCACATCACGCGTAGTACTTGTAGTACTACTAGCTCATAGGCGTAGTCATACATTAGTCAACCGTACTTCATTGTCATTGTCGCTAGTAAGATTCCATACCTGGACCCCGAAACTAAGTAGACTAATCGCGTTGGGAAATTGCTTTACCTACTTTCGGTTGTCTAGGCAGACAGACCCCACTGTAGCCCCCAGAAGCCCCGAAACCGTCAACCTTAACCCCTAAACCCCTAAACCCTAAACCCCCAAATCCCAAAGCCCCCGAAAGCCCTGAATCCATATAGACTTAAGTTACAGTAATTAGGAAACCATATTATTATCTATAGATCCCTATGATGGTAACTTAAACTACGTCCCCTTATAGAACCCTTAAACGAACCCTAAACTATGGTACAGTAACTTAAGCAAAGTCCCCTAAACCCCTAAACCCCTATAGAACTCTTATAGGAACCCTTATAGATCCTTCAAAGGAACTATGGTAACGGTTTAGGGTTTAGGGTTTAGGGTTTAGGGGCCTAAAAAGAAGCCCTTAACAAGAACCAACAAGAACCCAGCTATACATCCGCCGGCAGGCCCAGCGCCGCAGGGAGCATCGGTGTCCCAAACGGTAAGATCACCAGCGTTGCCTCGGTTTCGAGTGTGGAGCTTATACTTGGTTAAGGGTTCTATGTTCTATATGAGAGTTTCCGAAAATAGGGGAACCTAATACTATAGTACCCGAGAAAGTAGGACCTTATTATAAGGATCCCGCAATAAGGTACCCCTAATTGTCGGAAACTCCCATATGGTGTAGGGTTTAGGGGTTTAAGGGGTTAGGGTAGTTATAAGTGCGGTTATAGGATTCGTTAGTTTTAATTGTCGGAAACTCCCATATGGTGTAGGGTTTAGGGGTTTAAGGGGTTAGGGTAGTTATAAGTGGGGTTATAGGATTCCTTAATTTATAGGGTGTCGTGTTTACCTGTGGCCGAAAAGACCTACTTTCTTGAGGAAGTATATATATATATATTACTAAATAAAGAACCCTAGCAAGGTGAGTCTTTTCGGTTACCGGTAAGGTTTAAGTGTTTAAGGTTATCGGCTTAGGGGGTTTAGGGGCTACGGGTTGTGGGTTTCGGATTCTGGGATTTCAGGAATTTGGGGGCTTATAGGGCCTTAGAATTAGGATTCAGGGCTTCCGATTACGGCCTGACATGATGATACCCTAAACCCTAAACCGTACCCGCAGTTTCGAAGGAGTTCTTCTGCTGCTGTTTTCACCTATCGGAAGTTCTCTAAATTGGGGTCCTTTGCAGAAGGGTGCGGCACTATTTTGGGGCCCTCAAGAGGGGACCCTCATTTAGAGAACTACCCTTCTAGTACTCGTATAGAAGCCCTATAGAAACCTTTCTAGATCCCTTTCAGGATCCCTAAACAGGGACCCTAGTTTAGAGAACTACCCTTTGGTACCTTTATAGAAGCCCTATGCTAGTACTAACTAGTAGTACTAGTACTAGGCAACACCACCATTTATTACCCCCAGAGAATACTCACATAGACCCTAAAGGTCTATGCCACAGAGGCCCTATAGACACCCTTCTGGATCCTTTTTTCAAGCGGACACGAAAAAGGGCCCTAATTTAGAGAACTACCCATAGATGCTTCACTGTCCTCACCAGGTCACTACCACGCCTAGCAGGTGCAAGACATAATATAGGGGCCTTCGTAATTTGAATAGGGTTCCTTCAGCGGGATCTATAGGGGATCTATAATAGAGTTCCATAATGTAGGGGCCTTAATTATTTGAATAGGGTTCCTTTACAGGGATCTATAGGGATCTATGATAGAGTTCCGTAATGTCGTGGCCTGAATAATTGGAATAAATAGGTTTTCCCTGGCCCATAAAACTAGAATTGTAGGAACCCCAAAATGATATAGGTAATTATCGAGGCCAATATATTATCGATGCCGACGACTACCGGTCCTACTACGACGGCGAAGAGGCTGACGGCGACGATGGAGACGAAGGGCTTTGCACGAGTGCACACGTTTACAAGTTAACAGTGGCCCGCAGAAGCGTGAAGCGGTTCTTTCCAGTGACGTTTTCTGTTTGCGATGCCTCTCTCCTCCTATTCCTTTCCCTACACCCCATCATCATCATCATCATCATCATCATCATCGTCACAATCCTAACCTGAACCATAACCGATACGTTGGCCGTCACCATCGTCACTATCGGCAGTATGGCCAGCAGAAGCAGCGTGATAGTTTTGATGCCCCTCGCCATAGTGCTGCCATGACTGTTCCAATCGCCATGACCCGTTCCAAATGGCCATGACCGACAAACAAGACCACTTCGAGGTTCATGGGTCTAAATATGGTCATTATAAGTAGGGCAACTTTGCGCATATCCCGTATTAGGGGACATATTGTAACCCAGCTTATAACTTCCCCTGAACCTTCAACTATATGTCATGGCCTTTGCCCTTGAGGTGTAGGTGCCCCAAGCAGCGGTGTCGAGAGACAAAGAGAGTCTGCAAGCCAAGGCACAAACAAAGCCACTGCCATCGGACTCGAAGCACTTGCCACTCAGTCCTGAAACCTTCGCTGCGATGCACTTCACGTCTTGGGATTCACGGTGCAAAATTACTGTAGGGGCCTTAATAATTAGAATAGGGTTTTGGGGCCCACTGTACGAAAACAATTCTAGTAAAGTATGCCAAACCATCGTTAAACGGGATCGAAATGTACAGAAGCAGGACGCTCCCAAAGACCAACTACACATCACGATCGCCACAATGACGGCCATCGTATTCCTTTTCACAACCTCTCCTGCAGCAACAACCACGGACATACCGCCAGCCAAAGCAAACGCCATCTTCGAAAAGGGTTAGTAAAGTAGGACATCTGGCAACAATCGCAAGACGCAGGAACTGCAACAGTGGCAAACGACGACAACGACAACAATGTAATAGAGACGAGGCAAACAAGGGACCCTTCACATGACAACATAGAAAAAAGCAACAACCAGAAAGCAACATGTAACATGTACAACACGTATGAGCAAGCGCTAATTACGTGTAGCTGCATCAGTAATTATTAGTCCCTGGTACCAGTACACGATGAGTGTGATAGTGAACACTGCTTAAGCCACCAAGAACGACCGGAATAAAGGAGTGAATAGCCCAGTAGTTTTTCCTAAACGCCTCTGGCCCCCCTCCCCCCAAAGGTGCCAAGGAACATCACCGACGGACTTCGGCTGCGCCGCCGAAAGCGTCAGTAGGGCCTGGCATATCTATCGAAAATCGGGTGTTAGAGGACTCGGTACTTTCATGATTTTAGGGTGATAGGGTTGAGGGCTTTCAGATTCTAGGGTGAGTATTCAAGGTTTTAGGCTTAGGTGTTAGGTAATTTTGACAAGTTAATCCTAGACGAGCTTTCCCGGAGCAGCTGCAAAGGATCGAGAAACGGCTCACACATTAATAGGAGTTTCGGGCTTCCTAGAAGCCAGCAGCTGTTAAGAAGATAGTTCGAATCAGCAAGAGCAGGTGAGCCTACGTAGTATGGGTGGCCATTTCATTTTGAACGAGGCCGGGGGGGTATAGTTTGCTACACTTGCACCTTATTGTGGTGGTCTGTATCCCCACGGGTACGCCTAATCCTAACTCCTAGAAACCCTCAGGAATAGTATTGGTAATTATTCGGGCTTCTCTATCTGGTTCCGCAAAAAGGGACCCTAATATAGTACTCCAAATAGTCGGATCCTGAGAAATACCCCCACATAAGGTACCCCTAGTTTTCGGAAACTCCCATCTAATGTTCCGAGCCCGTCGATTCAAGATCAGATCCGGAAGCCTTCGTGATGCTATGTTCGATAACCATCATGTGGGAGTTTCCGAAAAATAGGGGACGCTTTACGTGTCCCTTTAAGGGATCTATGAGGGTTCTATAAAGGGTTTAGGGTCCAGAAATATGGGAGTTTCCGAAAGTTAGGGGACCCTAATTAATCTAGCACCCTAAATAGTAGGATCCTTGTTGTAAGAACCCCCAAACAGGGGGTACCTTACTTTTGAGGTACCTTGTCGTACGGTCCTTATAATAGGCATCATTTGGGGTAAAATAATGTTAGACTGGAAACTTTCAGGCGCAGACACCAATACCCCCCTGGACCCCCAAGGCGCAAGCCCTAAAGCGTAACGCCAAACCCTGGGCCTAAGCCGTAAGCCAGACCCCCTTTTGCGCCCATGTATAATCTGGTACCCTTGAAAGAACCCTTATGTGTTTTAATGTCAAAAAACCATCTAGTACCCTTGAAGGAACCCTTATTTTTTGTTAAACGTTGAAAAACCATTGAAGGAACCCTTAGGGGAGCTCCTGGAGCTCTGAAAGCCACTTCACACGAGGCCCGGGCGGAGATGAGCGACCGGAACATGCGCGATAAAGGCGTTCGGAGGGGTGAGGGCGGGGCGGGTCTCTGATCGGAAGCTCTGCCCTTGGGCCGGAAGCTGCCCAGGTTTCGGGCTTTGGGGTAGATTCTTAGATTAGGGTTTTGCATTTGGGTCTTCGCGTCTACGGGTTACTTTAGGGGTTGTGTTTGTGTAGTGGTTTGGAGAAAAGCTCAACACCAGGATCGCAGCTTAAGCGACTGGGCTGTTGGTTCAGGATCCCAAACTCCCGCTTAGAGTTTCAACCTCGCATTACTACGCATGCTTGTGCTACAGGCATATCATGCTGCACCTGTGAGAAACAAGCACCCGGCAGAATAGTATCCACACCTCCTCAGTGGCTACAGCCCCGGGCTTCTATACTGAACTTAGAACCCTAGCAAAAAATATAATTTTAGCTGTTTCTTAGAAATTCTAATAACCAAAAATTAAAAATAATTTCTAAGTACCCCGAAGGTTTAGGGTCAGCCTGCATCCTCCCTTCCCGACCCCGCCCTACTGAAGCCAAGTCGCCCCAGCCCTATCTCCGGCCAAAGCCCACACCTCAGCCGGCAGGGTTGGGTTGACGGTTCTTGGAGGTTCATGGGCAATTAGAAGTAGACTTATAAGTAGGGTAACTATATATACATATGTACTTATCACCCAAATTAGGGGACTAGTAACCCCACGTGTACCTACCCATGAACCTTCGAGTTGAGGGAGTTGGAGTCGAGGCCTTTCGGGCTGAAAGGCCCATCGCAACCCTCAACCGTAAAACTCTGGATCCCTGCACCCTCCCCCGAAACCAACCCCCCGAAACCCCCCTTACACCCTCCTGAACAAAAGATCCTAAACCCTTAACCCTGAGCTCCTAATCGTAAAATCCTAAATCCTAAACCGCTTGAACTCCTAAACCCTAAACGCTAAACCCTAAAACCCTGAAACCCTAAAACCCTAAAAACCCTAAAACCCTAAAAACCCTAAACGCTACACCCGACCCCCGGAACCATCGAAGTTCATCGAAGTCGAAGCCCCGAAGCCCTGAGCCTACAGTAGAAGCCAGAAAGTTGGAATATCATTATCGTAACCCCTTTAAAGCAAATTATAGTATAATTTGCCTTAAAGGGGTTACGATAATGATATTCCAACTTTCTGGCTTCTACTGTAAATCCTACCATTAATCCATATTCCAACTTTCTGGAGTTCCCTTTAAGGGAGATTTCGGGTCCAGAGGCTCCTTCTCCGTAGAGCTTTGGGTTCTGAGAGGGTTTAGGGTTTTTGGGGGGGAGGCTCCTCTTTCCATCTGCAATCCACAGGTAGAAGGGTTTAGGGTTTAGGGATCAGGGTTTAGGGTTTAGTGGGAGGGTTTATGGGATCTAGAGTCCAGAGTCCAGAGGACATGCAGGGGGCACGGTCTATGGCGGCATATCCGTGTCTCGAGACTGCGGTTCCTTCGCCAAGTCCATGACTTACCACCTCGCTGATCACATGTTGGAGCACATCTGTGGTTATCTATGAGCCCGATACCCAAAATAGCGAGTGTGTGCGTGTGCGTTGTGTAGAAATCAACAACTAAATTACGGCGGAGTCCTAGCATTTCAGCCCCTACACCCTGAACCCCAAAACAGGTCTGGGTGAAAGATGCACCGTGAAACCGAGGCACGTGGACATTTTCCGGATACTGCGGGTCCCACTTCCTTGCGGCTGAGGGTTTAGGGGTTTACAGGGTTCAAGGAGTCGGTACAAGGGGTCTCGAGTCCTAGTAGGGGCGGGGTGGGCTGCAGAACTCAAATCGTTTGTAACTTCAATCGTTTGAAACCAACATGTGGATGGCAGAGCTCGGATAAACCATGCGCATACTTGTCAAGCTGCCTTTCAATCCTGATATGTTCTGTCTTTCCTCGACTCCGGAGTGGCGTTTGAGGGTCGATAAGACTATATAGCTTTTTGGAGGAACCACAACGAATAATGTTGAAACTTTTCACCTACTCCCACTCTTATATTTATGTGGCTAGGATAAAGACCCCAAAATTCACAAGGCAAGCCTGATCACGCGTATCTCGTCTGAACGGAATCCCAGACGCAACATACCGAAAGTCTTGAGTACCACTGGAAAGCCCGAGGCCCTAACAATCAACACTCTCTAAACGTTTGAGGATAAGGCTGGCAAGGTAAATGGTTTGACGGGCCCTCAACTGTTACTGTACAGTTACTTTATTGCTCGTATCATTCCAAGTACTGCTACTGCAACAATATTGTGACATTAAAGGGAACTCCAGAAAGTTGGAATATGGTTTCATGGTAGGATACCCTATAATTTACCATAGACGGGTTAGGATAATCATATTCCAACTTTCTTATTGTGACATTATGCGGCTTGTTACTCCAACGGAGTGCTGGCAGGCGTCTCGTAAGTCACCAGGAAGCTGTTTTTCGGCGAAAAGTACCTCTGTGGGTTCGGGTCATGAGTTCGCTTCAAAAGGTTAGGGCTTGCGACAAACTTCAGATAGGAACGTGAAAGCTGCTTTCGACATGTAAGCTCTCGCCCATGATGGTTGCAATCCGTCTTGAATCTGTCCGGAGACATATATATATATATATATGTGTATACACCTATCTAAATAAATAAATATGTATGTGTGTATATATATATATATATTATGTATTGGTAGTATCTATACATACTCACGCATATACAGGTTCAACTCGTTCAGTGCTCGAGGCGATTTTTCCATGAAAATGCAGCCCAGAACCTGCATAGCAAACGACACTTCCACTGCTTGACGGGACTTGGGGGTTTGTGGCTGCTTCTTCGGCTTGGGGTAAGCTTGTCGTGGCTACCGCTTTATGCTATGTGGAATCTCAACTATTTTGCAACTATCTAATGTTTCCCTGCATCGAAACCTTCACCCTAAGAGTTGTACCCCCCCCAAATACTAACCTACAACGCTGCTAAGAATGACCTATGCCTCACTACTTAGTCCAGTTTAAACCTGAAGCCCTGAAGCCTTACCTTACTACTCCTCCTACTCCTACTCCTACTCCTACTCCTACTCCTACTCCTACTCCTACTCCAACTCCTACTCCTACTCCTACTACTACTACTACTACTACTACTACTACTACTACTACTACTACCATTACTACTATAACTAGTATAATAACTACTACTACTACTACTGCTACTACTACTATAACTACTACTACTACTACTACTACTACTACTACTACTACTACTACTCCTACTACTCCTACTACTGCTACTACTACTGCTACAACTACTGCTACTACTACTACTACTACTACTGCTACTACTACTACTACTACTACTACTACTACTCCTACTATAACTAGTATAATAATAACTACTACTACTACTACTACTACTACTACTACTACTACTACTACTACTACTACTACTATAACTAGTATAATAACTACTACTACTACTACTACTACTACTACTACTACTACTACTACTACTACTACTACTACTACTACTACTACTACTACTATAACTAGTATAATACCTACTACTACTACTACTACTACTACAACAACTACTACTACTACTACTCCTACTACTCCTACTACTGCTACTACTACTGCTACTACTACTACTACTACTACTACTCCTACTGCTGCTACTACTACTACTAGTACTAGTTAGTCCACTGGACATTTGGGGTTCAAGTATGATGACCAGGCGCAGAGATCGGACGCCGCCAGCACGGCCTTGCACATCTGGTGCGACCTCGAAAGAAGCTTGGGCTTACACTTGCCGAACAGACTGTACCAGAACATGTAAAAGCTTACATATATATATATATATACTTATGTATGTGTGTGTGCGTGTTTTAAAGGGGTGGTCTGTCGTGGGGTGACCATCTATACATATATGCATATGCACATATATGTATGCACTACATGTCAACATACATGCGTATGCATAGAGATAGAGAGAGACGGTACTGAGCTTATGTGAAATAAATACACACATATATATATATATATATATATATATGTATGCGTGTATAAACACCATACGTAAACTCAAAACAAACGGTGAAATGCTTGGAAGACTGTAGGCACATTGAAACATTTGTGAGAAGAAGAGACTCTCTGTGTAGGGTTCATGATAGCTCAGGAAGCAGTTAACCTGCGACTTAACGTAAGGAAGGCTCACCCAACAGCCCCATATACACACAGAGACAGAGACTCCAAATGGCAATGGGGCGCTTCTAAAGCTTAGAGCTTGCAAACGTGATCGCGATGCTTGTTACTGACACGTGTCGCAATGTAACTTTGCATGAAGTGCTTTCCGTCACGGCTGAATCAGCATGGGATTTAGGATGCAAACACACTTCTTGGCTCTTTGTCAGGCTTGGGGGTTTGAGTGGAGGGTAGAGGGCGCAAAGCCTGTACAAGCTATACACCTGTAGCACCCAAAATGTACGTGTTATGACTACGATGGGGATGACCCTTCACCCTTCAGCTAGAGTATAGGCAGCTATGAGGGAAAAAACCAATAGGTGATTGGATCCATGAGCCTACCCCACCTCGCCTTTTCGAGTCCCTTGTAGTAACCCCTATAGCAGCCCGTATTGATTGTAACCCTTATGGGACCCTTATAGTATCCACCCGTATAGTATGCCCTTCTAGCTAACCTTCCCGTCCCGCCTTCTCGAGTTCCCGCACTTTCTTGTAGCTCTTGTCGGCATCGTAGATGCGGACGCCTGGAGCAAGGCCTACATCCCATGTGTGTATGTATATGTGTATGTCTGCTTGTATGTATGTAGCGGGGCAGGTAGGTAGGTAGGTAGGTAGGTACGTAGCTAGGGTAGGTAGGTAGGTAGGTAGGTATGCATACACGCATGTATGCAGGTGTGTATGTTGCGTGCACACACACACATATGTATATATATATATATATATACATTTGTCTAAATAAGTAAATATATATATATATATATATACATATGTATATATTACTGTATACAAGTATATCTATCGATTTATCTATCTATCTATCTGTCCGTTTATCTATCTATCTGTATATGCGTTGTGTAATTGCGGGCCGTATTCGGTTACTTGTTCAGCGTTTCAGCCTTAGCCGCTGGTTTAGGCTTGGTGCTTTGGAAGGCATGTGGATGGCAGGCAGGCATTCGGATTCGGATTCCGATGTTTTTTCGCATTCTACAGCGGGATGTAGGGCTTCCAGTGTTGTTTCGTGAGCCTAAACCCTTCTCCAAAAAGAAAAAACATCCAGATCAACTCTCAATAGCCGCGTCCTGAGATATCGAAATGGCTCCTCAACCCGGTAACCTCTGTTAAAAAAACACTGGGGCCACAGCCTTCATCGCAAACGGAGGCGAGATACCGGCCATCGTCGCCTGGTTTTGTTTTAATTGTTTAGGCCTTGTGTCCGAAAAACATGTCCTTTCACCCTTATTATGGGGTTTAGGCTTCTCCGGGTTACGTCTTGAATTGCATCACACCCCAACAGAGCCGTGCTGAAAAGCTTGAGCTTTAAACCCTGAGGGCCGACTGGTCGGTGCACTAATAACTAGGAGGGGCTTTTAAAGCCTTTGAAAAATATTAGTAGGTAAGATCCTCTTAAGCCCAATAAGGGAAAATATAAAATGTCCCAAAGCCCTACCTAGATAAGAACTGGATATAGGTGTACTTCTCTAAATTACGGGCAATTCTGGGGTCCTTTTTCAAGGGGTGCCGTGCTAGATTGGGGACCTGTAAATTAAAGAACGACCCTATAGGCTGCGAACATATGGGTGGCCTATCAACTCCACCCGCCCCTGATGGCAACACTGGGACTTTCCGACCCGGTCCGAAACCTTTCAAACACAATTCGTCATATTCGCTCTTAGTCGCTGCATAACCATAGTGTGTAGGATTACGGAAGAACCCTGTTCTAGATGTTAAGGCCCCCAGAAGTTGGAAACTACAGCCCCTACGCGAAGCCCAGCTCCTCGTGTTTAGGTCTGCAGGACAATTGGCAAAGTAGCACTCAGGTTCGCCACACCCTCAACCCTCAATCCTGCAGCCCTTGAGCCTAAAGCTGCACTTGAGATCCGACTTCCTCAAGTCTGCAGTGTCCGATCCCTACAAGCCTGCATCCTTCAAAGCATCCTGAAAATTGAAACCCCGACCACGCACGTCCTTTCGGGCTTAATTCCGATGTCCGGCCCTAAACCCGACAAACAAACAACCGGCACTGAAGCCCAAACTCAGCACCTGATGAAACGTCACAGTAGACCTGTGCATGCCAGTGACTCCAAGCGAAACCGAAAGCGTTGGGGGCAGAAGGCATCGACCTTGTGCGGCTCTGTATGGCTTACCTATCTATCTATCTACCTGTCGATCTGCCTACGGTCTGACTATCTACAGCCGCTATGCGTCTATCTCTATATTCAGCGATCTGTTTCTCTATCTATGCATGTGTCTAGCGACCTGGCTGGCTACCTGTCTTTCTTTGATTCTTTCTACCTGCCTACCTACCAAATCTACCCTATCTATCCATCTTATGAACAATCTAACCTAATAATCTGACTGTCTGTCTATCTATCTCATGGCTGAGGGTTTTCAGCATGTTGCCACTTTTCATGCTGTCTATTGGTGTAGGCCTTTTCGACTGTGGTTCGTGCCCGGTGTTTTTTTCTCTTGCTTTCGCCTGGTGGAGGGAAGATACACGTTTACTAGGTGGGGCTTTTAAAGCCTTTGAAAAATATTCGTAAATAAGATCCTCTTAAGCCCAATAAGGGAAAATATATATCATGTCCCAAAGCCCTACCTAGTTTAGGGGCATTTCACAAAATTCAGACCTCCATATTAGCGTTCGCGGCTTGGGTCTGGAGCTGCAGGGGACCTAAGGAGTTTATGGGGTTTCGCTGTCGAAAACTTTGGGCTTGGGTTTAGGGTTTAGGGTTTAGGGTTCGGCTTGGGTTTCAGGGATATAGGATAGGAATGCCAGGATGAGTTACGGTGAATCCCAGGGAGCTGGATCGTGGCATAAGGCTGGTCCTTACTTTTTCATTAAGGGCATGATGATCCAACTGTCCGGCTCTTCCTTTAGTCGGATTGCTATACAGTAGAAGCCAGAAAGTTGGAATATCATTATCGTAACCCCTTTAAGGTAAATCATAGGGGATCCTACCATTAATCCATATTCCAACTTTCAGGAGTTCCTTTTAAGGCGTGGATCGGCTTAGGCTGAACCCTGCACCGTAAGGTAGACCCCCCAGGCCCTCATGAATCAGCGCAGCTCCTTTCAGTCATGGAAAAAGGGATTCAAAGAAGAAGCAGCCGTTTAACAGTGAGGGTTCCTCTTAGTTGGGGAGCCTGCATTGCACCTCGCATTTACCGCCAAGATCGTCAGGCGGTGTAGAGAAGCTCTGGTTGGACAGCGGCCATAAGAAAGATGAGCTAGTAGACATAGCATGCAGCGTCGACATTGATGTTGAGTGAAGTGCTGATGGTTAGCATGCAACATCGACTAAACGTCATTTGCGTTCGTGCCCGACTTGCCCTGAAGCATCCGCTAAACATATGATCTTGCATGTGAGCTGCCTATTGGCCGGCGTGTAGCAACTTCCAGACACGAGGCTTTAAGTGCACCACGGGGATTTTGACATAGTTGCGAAAGCTCACGGTTTCTTCATGACACGATGCCAGCGATGTCTTTCGGAGGAAAGGCCCCAGAAATGGCCTGTGAGGAGCCTGTACTCCAAGTTTAATAAAGGCTCGGGACGCAAGGCAGGTACTTTGGAACATAAACCCTGCATATTCTTGTTGACAACCCTAAACCCTAAACCTCTTCCACCCATGTAGGCCTGGCCTTTAGTGTTTAGGCCTTAGTTTTTGCTGGCCCTTAGAGTTTAGGGCGTAGTTCGGGCAGGCCTTTAGGGTTTAGGGCCTAGTCTGGGATGATTTAGGAGTCTAGGGCTTAAGCCTTAGTTTAGGCTTGTCTTTAGGGTTTGGGGCTTAGTGTGGGTTGGCCTTTCATTCTGTTGTGTTCAAAACCAAACGGTGTTCGTCTAGAGCCAAGATATGAGGCTATGCACCGTATGTGGTGGAAAAGCGGGTTATTTCTTAATGTTGTGGGATTCTTTGGGTGGGTGGGTGGGTGTTATATCAACACCTTGAAGATAGCTTTACTGTAGTACTGCTTGATCCTGAGCTGCTGAACCCTAAATCCTACCCCCCCTAAACTTACCCTAAACCCCCAAACCACAAACCCCTTTAACCCCTTAACCCTAAACCCCGAAACCCTAAACCCCTAAACCCTATAAGCCTGAAAACGTGAATATAACCTATAAGCCTTATGTTTATAAGCCCTAAACCCCTAAGCCCTAAAATCCCGCAACCCCTAAACCCTAAACCCCTATAACCCCAAAACCCCGAGACCTTATACCTCAAAATCCTATGAACCTTAAACTTACGTATAAACCTAAAACCCTAACCCCTAAAGCCCTAAACCCGTTTTGACCTTGCTTCTTTGCCGGCCGAGCTGCGCTAGCACAGCGAGCTTGCGGCCGTCCGAACACCGGCCGCTGGACCAGTTACCGCCTTTTGGGTTCGCGTTACCCAGAGGCCCCAAAGTAGTTCCTTTTTGGGACTGCCTAATAGGGTTCTAAATATGAGCCCCAAAAAGGAACTACCTGAGGGCCTTAGGGTAATAAGTGCTTAGGGTTTAGGGCTCTTGTTAGGGGCTTTCAGGGTTTAGGGTTCTCGTTAAGTGCTTAGGGTTTAGGGTTCTTGCTAGGGGTTTTAAGGGTTTAGGGTTCTTGTTAGGGGTTGTCAGGGTTTAGGGTTCTTGATAAGGGCTTAGGGTTTAGGGTTCTTGTTAAGGGCTTGGGGTTTGGGGTTCTTGTTAAGGAAATTCAGCTACGTTACCATACTTGAGGGTTGCTGTAAGGGTTATTGTTAAGGAAGTTGGGGTTCAGGGTTTAGGGTTGGTTTAGGAATGTAACTTCAGTTACCATAGTAGGGATCTATAGTAAGTACTGTAATATCATTCCCGTATCATGGCAAAATCAATTAAATCCCTTAGCGAACCTTTGTTCCGTGCTTTGCAGAGGTATATAGGGGTTTAGGGATTAGGAGTTTGGGGTTTAAGGGTTCAGTCTAGCGGAGTCTAGCGGTCACCCTCTCATTCTCAAGCTCTTCACATACTTTGCCGGAATCGTTCTTTCTGCCTGTCGGCGAAGAGAACGATGATTTTGCAGAGTGTGAATGTGTAAAGAGAATGGAGCCCGGGACATAGATTTAGAGATTCCGGGTTTAGGGCAGAGGTTTTCGGGTTGAGGTTGATGCTAGCCTTCTTCTTGTTGTGGCTGCGTGCGGTTACTCAACCGACTCTATCATTGCAGCTTTGATTTTGAGGGTAGACAGTGGCCTTAGCAACGGTAACTGTTGCTGGAAGTACGAACGGTTTCGGGCTTAAAGCTCTGCATCTGTGGTGAGTTAACCGTCTCGTGCACATGCGTAGTTCTGTAAAATAGGGTCGTTCAATAGTTCCCCAGAAATAGTACGAATAAAGGGGACCCTAATTTAGAGAACTACCTACATGGCAAATCCTTCACAACCGTTCTCGCCAAGCAAGTGGGTGAAAAGTAGCTTCGCTGCTACGAGCGTTGCCGGCTATGGGGTTGCTGTCTTGCGGGCTCTTGGGCATGGTGGCGAGACCTCCTCCTCCTCCTCCTCCTCCTCCTCCTCCTCCTCCTCCTCCTCCTCCTCCTCCTCCTCTGCTCATTATAAACTAGCATGTTTCAGGGCGCCATCGGTCCGATATATAAACGTCTGTAGGAATTATCCCTTTTTATGGAGCTGTAGGCCTAGGCCTAATATAGGGCCTTAATAGTTAGAATAGGGTTGAGGCGCCCGCTGTACTATTCGTAAGGACTTCCCAAAACTAGTATTGGCAGTAGTGGTAAATATTCGGACCCCTATAATATTAGTTGGGAGCCAGTGTTCTGAGGCTTCGGCCATTGTCTGTGGACTTGTCAATGTCCGCAGCGTCGTACACAACCAAGCCATCTTTTGTCGCGGCAACGAATTCCTGGTACAGAGCAAGGGATAAAAATCAGGTCGCTTAGGTATGAGGGCTCTAAAGTCCCAAAGCCTAAACCTCACCTACATAGCCCCCGAAACCGAAACCCTAGGAATCCTCAACCTCAGAATCACGGATTCGGGGGCTTGAAGACTACAAATATGTCAGGGATGCCTAAGACATACCGTATCTAACGATTCATGTCAAAGCGCTATGTTATTTGCGGGCCGCAGCTCATCGAATACAATATGTAACTATGTGTTCCAAACATACACGTACTTATATTATAGCTGTATGATAAGACCACAAACCAAATACCCATGAGCTCCTACACACCTACCCCCTAAAGAAACCCTGAACACCAAAGCCTGCAATCCGAAGCTTCCCAAAACCCCTGGGCACACGATTCCTTACGGCCGTAGGCCGAACCGGGTTCAACGACTCAGGGGTTACGCGGTTACGGGCCTAGATAGTAGAATCCAACTTCTTTGTCCTGCAGTTGTCAGCTGATACCCTAAACCCTAAACCTTAGCTCATCTCCAGCCATGCCCAGCTCGTCTGAGTCGTCAGCAAGGACTCCCACGTCTGTCCAGTGCATTTTCCAAGCTCTTTGGAGGTTCCCGTTTATCTTTATAGTATAATGTCCCTCCAAACCCTATTCTAGCTATTAAGGCCCCTGTATTAGCAGACTGCTGATAGGGAGCTCTGTTTGAAGACGCAACAAAAGTCCAACAGCAATGAGACGTCAAACTGTGAGGCTGCTGTAAGGTTGATACTATGAAGCTGCAGTCGCTGGCCAGGTGACGCCCTTGGAGCACTGCGTTGCAGCGGCCATGAGATGTTCATGCCAGCGCTTTGTCCGGAAGGCCTGTATGGCGATGCTCGCATGCTGCAGTAGTATGCCGCACCTTGAGTGTTCGCTGCCATCAGCCAGTCACCTGGCTCTGCTCTGCCTGCAAGATGCGGGGCATATATAGCGGCCTTGATAATTAGAATAGGGTTTTGGGGCCGATTATACTATAGCTATAACAAGGGACCCCCAAACAGTTTAGGTAAGTATTTAGCCTATAGTATCAGCAAGCACCTGTGGCTTAGCATATCATTGGCGGTCAGTGGCTCGGATGCAGCTCCAAGCTCGACTAGAGCAGTCATCAAACCGGGAGCCAGGCCCGAGACAAGGTTACCTACTCTACTATGTGGAGGTTCTTGGGTAGTTAGAAGCAGAGAGATATGTGCCCCTAGTATGGGCTATAAATATAGTTACCCTACTCCTTGCTTGCAACCTCGACTTCATAGTTAGAACTACGCGTGAACCTCCGAGTACTAGGAAACAGTACAGGAAACCCCATTATAGATCCCTCATGGAACCTTTCAACAGCCCCTTAAAAAGGAACCCTACTCAAATTATGGAGGCCCCACTTAGGAATCTAAGCTAAACCCTAAATCGTCAGACGCCCAAGAGCCCGAGACCCTAAACCCCTAAACTCTGAACCCTGAACCCAAACCCCTAAAATCGTAGAGCCTCCAAAAAGCGAAAGCTCCGCCAAGGCCCTTTAATGGAGCCCACATGGTCCTTTATTGCGGGAATTCAAGGTATATTAAAGGGAGTCCTAAAAACCCTATACTAAACCCTAAGTCCTACACCCTAAAATACCCTAAACCACCAAACCCTCAAGCCTAAACCTTCGACCTTAAACGCTAAACCCTACCCCGAAGAGCCTAAACCCTAAACAGAAAGCACCAAGTACCAAGGCCCCTGAAATCTGTACCCTTATAGAGCCCTTTAAAGAGACCCTTAAGGATCCCAACCCTAAACCCTAGCCCCTCTCTAGACCCTACACCGTAGTCCTAAAAAGAAAGGACCAAGCCCCGAGCCATGGCTCAGAGGGCGCCGCTGCCGTTGCCGCCACCAGCAACGGCGCCGCTTAGAGCCGCGAGGAGGCGCGGGGAGCTTCTGATTTCAGGCTTTGTAGGAGGGTTTAGGGTTTAGGGTTGGGGTTTAGGGTTTAGGGTTTAGGGTTTAGGGTTTAGAGGGTTTAGGGATTTGCAGGGCTTGAGGGTTTAGGGTTTCAGGTTTCGTAGGCTTTGGGGTTTAGGGTTCAGGGTTTAGGGCTGCTGGCTTCAGGTTCTGTAGGGCTTTAAGGTTGAGGGTTTCAGGTGTTGTAGGGTTTGCAGGTGTTGTAGGGCTTTCGGGTTTAGGGCTTCGGGTTTGTAGGTTTATAGGGCTTAAGGGTCTGGAGTTTTAGTTAAAGCCTTGTGGATTCAGATTTTGGGTGTATGGCTTACATGGGCTTAGGGATTCCTTTTTCGAGGATGTCTTACTTGAGGGGCCATGGGGGATCCAGACAAAAAGGGTGCAAAGGTTCACGCAAGGTCTATCTATATATGCGGTATTCTGACCAAACCTTGCCACACGCACGGTGAATACTATTGACGCTGCGGCCTCTATGTCAAGTAGGGTTTCTGTTGAATGCGTCCATAAAGAAAGCCCCACATGAAAAGACTCACCAATCACAACAAGCATAATATATACACCCACCCAAACTCCCTGATCTCAACACTACTGCTTCATGCCTCGTAGAAACGACACCCGAAACCCTAAACCCTTTTTGGATCCCTGTAAGCCCTAATCCTAAACCCTATAGCGCCAAATCCAAACCCTGCATGCCCCCCTTTTTGGCACAGCGGGAGCGCGACTGAAGTGCTCGAAAATCCGAGAGGATAACGCTTCGTTGCGCGAGCAGCGCTGAAGGCTCCAAAAGAATGGAGGGACTGCCAGGGACTGCATTAAGGGTTCCTTTTAGGTCCTTTGAAGGATCCTTTATGGGCTCCTTTAAAGTTTTGAAGGTCCATGATAAAGGTCCTTTAAGAGTGCTTTCTCTAAGGGCTTTTTCGATTCAGGGATCAACATCGTGGGGGGTTTTGAGGGCTCAGGTGTAGGGCCATGGGGCTTGGGGCGAATGATTATTTGATATACTAATGTGACTTGAACCATCTGGGTTCAGGATGTCTAGAACTCTAGGATTTAGCAAGCTTTGGGCTGTAAACATATCCTCAAGGGCTCACGAAACACTAAAACACATCTGCGTGGAGTCCCTCTAGCTTCAGGTGGAGCATAGTTTGCGGAATCCCGTCCGAGGGGTGACCCAAAAATCCGCCCCCTCCCCCAGCCCCAACCACACACACACCGATGCTTTGGACTTGAGGGCTTCAAGGCTTTGTGGGAACTAAGGGCATTGGGGAAGGGCTTGGAAGTGTATGCTGTATGGTGTGCGGGTTTTGGCTTTAGGGTCTAAGTTTAAGGCGTTGGGGCTGGAGTTTTTTGGATCACCCGGGACGATTCCCGAACAGTTTGCTCTGTACCTTCGCAGAGCATATGAGCCGACCGACAAGCTGTGCGAGCCGTAAGGATCCCGAAGAGCAGTATAAACCCTAAATCATACGCCCCACAACCTGAACCTATAGACCCTCGGTCCGACCTTTGGGGCACTGCAGCCCCTGGACGGAAAGCTCCTACGCAGTGGGTATGTGCGGCTGCTGTTGCGGGTTTACGCTGCCAATGGAAATTGCCAGAGTTCTATCATTAATGGCCATTATATCGCCACGAGTCAGTCAAAGTCTTTGTGCTAACAGTTTAGGCGGTGGGGCTTCGCAAGTCATTGGGCCATAGGGCCATAGCTACTTGGCTGAGGAGCTACCATACATTGCGAACCATCAGCAAAGGCTCGTAATTTTGACCGCCGGAAAATCAGGAGATCCGTCACATTCCTCGTGGATCCACGGGTCGGACATACACGAACCTGCAGCAGCGAGAGCTCAGCCCCCACAGACAGTTGCATTCCTGTTGCCAGCTTGGGATTCTGTTCGATATTCCGTGGACTGAAGGGTTGGGTTCGGGGTTTGAGGGTTGCGGGTGCGGGGTACCCGAAACACCGAAACGTAAACTCTGGATCGCACTTGATTGAGGGTGTAATTACGTAAGATTTGGGGAGCCTGCTTGCAATAGGCCCGAACAGCCAGCAACTGCAACGCCAAAGGCTTCGCGGCGAACTGGATGAAAGGACTCCTGAACCCCGAACCTCGTAAACGACTCATACGTGGACTCCCACACACAGACACACACCATTCGGCTTGAACTTTAGAGGTTTGCGACGGTTCTGTCGGATTGGTGCGCTGAACATTGTAGCCCTTGGTTTCATTGTGGACCGGATGCAACAGTAAGAACTCTGTCAGCAGCCCGGGCACATCTCACCATCACGGTCAGCAACGATGCGCATATCATCCTGAGAAGCGGCGGTTTAGGGTTTGGGGAAACCCCAGCTAGGAACGCTGAACCCATTAAAAGCAGGAGCAGTAACACTTTCATCACCGCCGGGCGGCGTCAAGATACTTCAGCTCCACGGAGCAGGTCGGCTTACGACCGCCGTTCCAAGGCAGAAGCTGCCACACAGCATTCCTGGCTTTCCGCGTTGGGGTGGGGAAGGGGCTCAGGGTTATAGGGTGTAGGGCTATATTGCTTAGGGTATAGGGTTGGGGCGGGGCTCACGACACTAACAAACTCATAATCACAATCACAGTCAGAATCAAGATCAGCAGCATCATCAACATAACCACAGGAGCCACAGTCATTCTCATATTCATCATCACAGCCATGAACATAGCCAGGACCCGAATCATCACCACAACGATAACAGGTAGTACGAATACTGGTACTAATGACAATGCTGAAACAGACATCATAATGCGCCGTCGGGCTTATACGGCTAATTATTCAGTCTTCAACAGTAGGGGGTTTCGAGTGCGCGGGTGTTGGGTTCTGGGTGCTGGGTCGGGGACCTGCGGCTTTGACTCCTGGCTTTTGGGCTGGCGGATAAGTCTCGGCTACTCCCTTCCTTCTGAGCCCCTATACACCGCAACCCCAAAACCAGAAAACCCCCTAAGCCCGATTTATGAGGCATATAAACCCTATGGACATTCGAAGAAAGCCTGCGCCCGTCCTAAACCCTTATAGTAGCCCTTATAGTAACTCTTATAGACCCTTGCCTTCAAAGGAACCCTATTCTAATCACTACAAGATGGTGCTTCTGAAGGTCTTTCGGGGCTCTTGTCCTATAGATCCTTTCTAAAACCCTTTAAGGGAACCCTAGTCTAATTATCAAGGCCCCTATATTACGCCCTAGTCTTCACGATACCTCCCTTAGAACCATAATCAAAAAAACATGTTTCTAATATTCTCTTGGGTTTTTATATGAAAAACATTGGTATATGAAAAATTCAACATAGCTTCTAAGGAGACTATAGTTCACCGAGTGGCACCGGGGCTCTCTTGCCCATGACGAAGTCTGCCAGGGGAGGCAGCCCCGGGACCTCCTTGGCCTCCGTATACCTGGGATTTTTGCGCTCCAAAAAAAAATTAAAAGGGGTGGGCTTATAATGGGTTGAAGAAACTAAACAAAAACTTTAAAAGGATAGGTTGATAGTTGGTAAACAAGGCAAAAAGGGCGATAGTTGATAAAAAGGCTTATGGGTGTTTATAGGGTTTATAATCGAAAAACAGGGCTTATAAGAGCTTGAAACCCTATAGGGCTTAGGTTTGTATGGTTTAGAAACAGGTGTTAGGTTTATAGGGTTCATAATTTGTAAACAAGGCGTAGAAGTGCTCTAAACCCTCTAGGGGTTATAGGTTGAATGGGTTTATAAACAGGGCTTGTAAGTGCTATAAACCGTTTGGGATTTAGGTTTCTATTGTATATAAACAAAGCGTGTAAGTGCCACAAATCCTTTAGGGGTTATAGGTTTGTAGGGAGTATAAACAAGGCTTGCACACCCTAAACCCTACGAGGACGGGAGGACAAGCCTTGGATGCCCTCAGTTCCTCAACCACAACCGTAAGGGTCCAAAGGACCCAATGATTAGGTACTCGGGTATGGGATAGTTGTTATGTAGATTACTATTTTTGAGTGTATGTGATACTTGGGTACTTGGACCCTTAGGACAACAGCAACCACAAGGACATACCACAGGTTGCATTTTAGCTTAGGGGCTGAGTACCTGCGCCTGAAAAGGTTAACCTGTTCATTCTGGTTAGGTCATATAAACGCCAAAAGTTTAAAGGTTACCTACCCGGCTACTATGTTAGAGTACACGGATACGACAGTGGCAAAAGACTAACACTCGCAATGGTGCAGGTGCTCGTTTAGGATGGTGGGGTGACGTGGATTCTTGTGCAATCATACCAACGACCTAAGGAAGAGCCTTGGTAACGACTCAAGACCTCTATAGGAGGAAAGACAAAAACTACGTAAGCGTGTTTTGGTCACAGGGGCTGTAGCCAAAGCTGGAATGCGCTGAAGATCTCTCGGGGTGGAGTTCAAGGGGGAGATGGATCCCAACATGATCTTCCAGCAGGGCTTGCGGAATAGGGTTCTAGCCTTCAGCCCCTGAACTTTCTATGGTAATCACTCTATAGATAGAACCCTTGTGGCAACTACCCTTCTAGAACCCTCATGGTACAAATACATATACTTATGAGCCCTTCAACCCACTGAACTTGCAGCCACGTCCACTGCACCTCCATGTCCTGGGGATCATGGGCTAGGGTTTAGGGATTAGGGTTTAGGGTTTAGGAGGAGCTTTGCTGGGTTTTCGGGGCTTCCGATTCCACGATGCTGGGCATCGGGGAGTGAAAAGCTAAGCTTGTCAGGAATTCATTTTTAGGGTTTAGGGTTTTGTTTTTTTAGGGTTTGGGGTTTAGGGTTTCAGGATATGAAGATGTAATGCTTCAAGGTATGGCCGAGCCCGGGCTTATCTATTTGTCAATCTTCGGGAAGTCTCGCGCCTTGGAGGCCCTAAAGGGCCAGTTCTCACTGGCCTTACAAGAAGGACAGGGTAAAGATGCTTTACTGGCAAAGGTTTATAAGTGTTACAGTGAAGGGTTATTAAGGTTTATGGAACTTCCTACAGCAAAAGCACGAGAGTTTGTGCCATTGGGAACTGTTTGACAGGGCATGATCTCTGTTGGGACCTCATCTACGGTATACCGTACCATACTTACCAACATTCCGGAATCCCATTCAATCTCTTCAAAACATCCGAAACATTTGCCAAAAGAAAAGTGGTGAAGCGCCGAGTCCTGGAAATGCAGTCGTGAAATGCTGCCTATAACTACGACTTCCGACACCACAACGCGAAACACAAAAACTTTTCGGCTACAACTGTTGACGACGTTAAACTCCAAACTGTGAATTCCAGACCCCTCGAATCATGAAGCTAAGCGCACCAACAAATCTTGCGGTCCAACCGAAAATCCGGAATCAGAGATGCGAAAGCACGCATGCAACGGGCCATCACCCACAACGTTAAGGGTTTGGGTTTCGGGATTGGGGCTAAGGCTAAGGGATTCGGAGAACTTGGAGAGGCTAGATAATTTAGACTGCCACTTTGCAATGCCACAATGCTACCTGCGAGGGCTCTAAAGGGGGCAAGCAGCAAGCACAAACAAAAAGGGACAGAGAATCCACGACCTGAAACCAGTGTCACAGTGTCCAATTCCAAAGCTCAGGCGAGTACTAGTCAGACTAGGGTTTTGGGGCCCAATATACTATACTTAAAATAAGGAGCCCCCAAGATTGGCATAGATAATTATTAAGGCCCCTGCTTTACGACAAGGGCCTCAACACAGCCGTGCGGTTTCTTGTCCAGCGGTGTGCGCAGGCAGTTGACTAAACTATCTACCCTGAACCATAAACCCGGAACCCTTCCTGCTGGGAGTTCATTACACAGTCTACCCTAAACCCTAAATCCGGAACCCTCCTTGCAAGGACATTCTACTAAACCCTCCTAAACCTGGAACCCTTCTAGTAATGACCAGTCGCCAATCGATTCTCCGCCATTGTCACATTGGACACCGTGACGACGCAGCCGCCGAAGGTCGGCCTCGCAAGGGGGGGGGGGGGGGGGGGGGGGGGGGGGGGGGGGGGGGGGGGGGGGTTGGGGGTGGGGGGTACAGGGTCGAGGGGTTTAGGGTTTAGGGTCTGGGGTTTAGATGTTCACGGTGGGGTTGAGGGTTCAGGGTTCAGAGTTTAGGGTTTCGGGTCTAGGGGTTTAGAGTTTAGAGTTCAGGGTTTAGGGCCTAGGGTCGGGAATTTAGGGTCTAAACTGGGGTCGATAGGGAAGACACTGAAAAATTTGCTTTATCGTTGCTTATCGTTTGGTTGGTGCTTAACGTTTTATTTGTCTCAATTTCCAAATCGAACTCAAGGTTAGGGCTACATAGTTTTGCTGCCTAAACCCTAAGCCCGAAAACCCTAAACCCATCTGAACCCCCCCCAAAAAGCCCCTACACCCTAAACCCTAAATCTACCCCTTATCCCTAAACCCTAAACCCTAAACCCTAAACCCTAAACCTCTCAACCCGAAGTTGGTTTGCGAGGATGGTGGAAGGGTTCCTGGCGAGCGGAGGTCTCAAGTTGAGGGTTGAGAGCTATTGAAACGAAGTGTAACCTGATACCAGAAGTCTACTTAAGAGCTGCTACGCAGGGAATTAGCACTTAATCCTAAATCCGCTGATTGGTATTTAGATGTTGAGGGTTCGTTGGCATTGTTTGTAATTTAATACGGAAACTAACCGAGGCGGATCGACAGTAGCTTTGGTTGCGGCAGCTCAACTGGTGCCTTTACAACAGACACCTGGCACTGGCAGTAAGAAACTAAATATCGTTAATCACCCCTTGGGGTTGTACCACAACAATGAAACAAGATCCTGCGAAGAACTCAGATTGCTGATACAGGGCATAATGTCTCGAATTTACGATAATTTTGTTGCTCACGAATCATGCTGGCAACCCCCTCGCGCATTTCCCAGATCCTGAACGCTACTTGGAGGTTCAGGGGTAGTTATAATCACAAGTAGGGTTACACGTCCCCTAATATGCGTTATAAGTATAGTTACCCTGCTTATAGCCCTGCTTATAACTACCCATGAACCTCCAAGTAGTCCTTGACTGACTGCAGTTTGTGGTTGTGGCAGGGGGCGACCTTTCAGGACTAGGGGTTGAACTTCCGGGCGTCAAGCGTCCGCGCCTAAAACGAAAGTACACCAGCCCGAAGTCTCAGAACCGAAAGATGTGGGAGTTTCCGAAGATAAGGGATCCTAATATCGTACCCTATGCAGTAGGATCCGTTTTAAAGGGGACCCCAAGGCAAGGTACCCCGAATCTTCGGAAGCTCTCATGTAGGAACTGACCTTCGATGCAGGGTTCAGGGCTTTACTTGGAGGTTCAAGGGTAGTTGTAACTAGGGTTATAAGGGGATTGAAGGTTCCTTATAAGGGTTCTATAGGGTTTAGGGTAGTTGTAACTAGGGGTATAAGGGGATTGAAGGTTCCTTATAAGGGTTCTATAGGGTTTAGGGTAGTTGTAACTAGGGGTATAAGGGGATTGAAGGTTCCTTATAAGGGTTCTATAGGGTTTAGGGTAGTTATAAGTTATAAGTAGGGTTGTAAGTAGGGTAACTATACTTGTAACCCATGTTAGGGGACTTATAACCACACTTATAACTACCCATGAACCTCCAAGTAGCCTCGAAACACTTGTCTCGACACCCTGTTCGGCACTCTGCCTTGCACAGAAAGTCGTGTAAACCCCGATTATGAGCCAACCCTGATAGTCCCTATAAAGCTTACGGTAGTGTATCCCAAAGCCCTATTCTAGCTAAGTCTTAATGGCCCTACATGGCACTTTATCATCTCTTCTCCATGCTTCAATTCTCTGCAGTTCCCTATCATCCCTTGGATCTCCGAACCTGAAAATTTGCACCTTTCGACTGGGGGTTTTAAGCACAGGTTTATGTGCAGTTCTGGAACTCAGGCCTGAGGAAGACAGGGGCCTGCCTTTGCTATGATTATAGGGAGACGACAAGCAGAAAGTACTACTAGTTATTCCGACCTATAGCAAACCATCCTAAGACCAAAGAACACCCAAAGCATTAAACGCCCAGTGGCAAGAGCTTCCACCATCCAAGAATTGGAATGACTGTCATGGAAAGAAGGGACGTGTCAAACTCACCTCGGAGATAGCCTAGCTTCTAGTCAGATGGCTCTTGCGGGAAGGGAGCGGGGGTAGTTTTGGCTTGGGGTTGCGTTCTGGATCATTGTCTGGATATGTGAAGTGCCACGATTGGAAGTGTTGTTTGACTAGGTGGGAAAGCATGTGGGTGCGAGGGTCAGGATGTGAGGTCTGGCACATGCCGTTGCTCGTGGTGGAATCCTTGCAGTCGAATTTCCGGGTTAGGGGCTTTAGGCTTAGGGTCCAGGGTCGCTAGAGGCCGCATCGTCCCCATAACCCTGAGATCTGGGCCTTCCAATTCGTTTCTCTTGAAAGCCAGGTGGCTGTATAACAGCCCCTCGGTCGCGTTGATGAACCTCAAGCCATGGGTTCCCCTTTTAAATAGTTGATATCCAGAATCCTACAAGTTAATCCCGAAAAAAGGAACTACTATGGAGCCTATGGGTAGGTTTTGGTATGTATTTCAAGTCAAGGGCAAACTCTTGGAAGTCAGGCTGCCGACAAACACCACCCCTCAAACAAATAGTAATGCAGTAATACACATAGACTCCTAGTACCTGGGAGCCTTGTCGTTTCTGCTTGCGTTGAGCCACGACCATCCCCGAAACTCTGAGCACCCAAAGCCCCCGAAATAGATTTGGGAAGCTGTCAAAATTAGGGTCCCTTTTTGGGTACCCTAAATATTCAGTGCCGTATTAAAGTAGGAACATAAGAAGGAACCCTAATTTTGACAACCACCCATTTAAATCCTAAACTTGCCTGAGCCTATTGGCCCCTCCTTTGTGCAGATATTGTCATTCATACAAACAAACAAACCCTGAGTTTACAAAACACGAGGAGCCTCCAAAAGTCCAGATTCGAGTAGTTCAAGGCATCGTTTTTGAAGCCTTCTTCTCCAAGCATCCGAACTGTGCATATTTTTTTCTAGGGTTTAAGACTTTCGATCTAAAATTGCAGCATACTGGCCCCCTTATACTGCATTTGTTTGTGAAGTGTAGGGGTTTTGGGGCTTAGGGGTACGAACGAAAAGCTTCGCAGGAGGACGCACAGAAGCTAAGCTCCGGCCAAAACGCCTCCCGGACACGGGAACTTGGGGTTTAACGTAAGGCCTTAAGAATTAAAGTTTTTTTGTTTGGGGGGGTGAGGGTATAGGAAAGCATATCTATATTCAGATATTCAGGAACCCCAAGGTACTTTTCAGGTCTTAGGGTTTACAAAATGCCCCTTCAACTCTAACCAGTAGCCCTACCGAATCTAGAGGATGGTTCTTCATCAAGTTGTGTTGGAGTCTTTACTCCTTACAGCCCTTACAAACACCCGACCAAAAACCATCAAAGTCCATAACACCTGTAGCAACGACAGCCTACCCCAGACAGTATAAGCCCAAAAGTTGGAAGCCCAATAGCCTCAATCCCTAAGGGGAGTGCATAGGAGCCCTCAATCTGATTTCCAACTTTTGGGGTCTACTCTAAACCCATACGGGAGTTTCCGAAAATAGGGAGTACCTCATTTTGGGGCCCCTATAATAAGGATCCTACTATTTAGGGTACTCTATTAGGGTCCCCTATTTTCGGAAACCCCATACCGCCTTCACAAAGAGAGTGTTGGAGATTCCGGGCCCAACCCCACAATTCTGGCCCTGTGGCTGGGCCACGCGGCCCACCTTTGAGGCCCCCCAGGACATGACCTGCGGCTTGTTTCGGACTTGGGTTCATTTTTGATTGCCCTTTGCCCTCCGCCTAGGGTGGCGGTAAGCACTCCATGCTCATATATTATACGTAGTCTACTACAGTATTTGAAGTATAGTATAGCATATTGTAGTATATTATATGTTCGCTTAAGTTAGTGATTAAGCCTATTGACCAGGGCCCTCGGACTCAACCCCAAGCAACAACTCCAAGAACAAGCTCACTAGACACCGAGGCCCCGGCTATCACAGCGCTCGGATCGTCACTCAGCTAAACACAACTCGAGAGTTTGGGTTTAGGATTTAGGGTTTAGGGTGTAGGATTTGGGCTGGCCTGAACTACCAAATGACTGCCATCTCCGATTCACGCAACAGCTCACTCAGTGCGTCAGAGTACTGAGGAATTTCATCACAACAGCATACATCAACGAGAATCCGAACCTCACCAAGCAACCCTAAAACACTCACGTGAGCAGGATAATTAGACCGAGATGGTTCGCACTCATGGCGTGCATCAGCTACGGTCGACGAGGATTTGCACAGAGCATTTGGACTTCACTGCGCTAACAGCAACATGTCACTACAACACTACTGCAAGACAACACACATGCCCAGTTCCAAAGCAATGCTGCGACTTTACTACAGTAGCTTGCAGAATAAGGCTTGGGAACGTCTTCGTCATCATCTAGGGTCGTGTCATCATCCTGGATATGGCTTTCTAGGCTTTATTCGCGAATGACTTCTTGCTCTTGCACCCAATTTCCGGAATAAGAAGCGACAGATCAAATGGCACACCTTTTGCGAAGAGCCATGCGCTGGGAAACAAAGAATGCCAATAACTTATATCTTGAAGCAGTATGCCAAAACTAAAACCTTCCAGGCTTGCACGTAGCGCCTGGAGCCACCCTGAATATCTCAGGAGCAAAGTTGAGCCTGGAACTTCCAAATCTCAAATCTTCACAGCCTGCATCCTTCACCTCCTCTTCGCCCATCCCAGGCAAGCTTAACTGATGGATGGATGGATGGATGGATGGATGGGTGGATGGGTGGGTGGGTGGGTGGGTGGGTGGAGCTGTGGATGGGTGTATGGATGGATAGTCATACGGAGAGATCGATATGATATGACATATGGCATGGTATGATAGGACCTGATATGATATAACGATATAACACACATATGCACGTGTACATATATATATATATATGCGTATACACAGATTTTAAAAGGATACAGACTCAGGCCCTAGGCTTTGTGCTCGGAGCCTGCAGTTCGTGCAGCTTGAAGAAAAGCTCGGACTTCTCTGCTTCCCCAAAGGCCTGGTGCTGGGGTCTACTTGGAGGTTCATGGGTAGTTATAAGTGGGGTTATAAGCCTCATATGTTGGCGATAAGTATAGTTACCCTACTTATAATCCTACTTATAACTACCCATGAACCTCCAAGTAGCCCCTAAACCCTATACCCTTATAGAACTCCTGCAGATCCCTTTAAAGGGACCCTTAAAGGAACCCAAGTAGGGTTTAGTTTGAGGAGGGTTTGCGGGTTTAGGGTTACTGCAGGGGGGATCCAGGGCTTCCGGACACCGGAAGCAGAGGGGCCACGGTTTAGGGTTTAGGGGTTTAGGGGTTTAGGGTTTAGGGTTTAGGGGCCTCAATCAGACTTGGGCTCCTCTATAGCTTCTTTTCAAGGTCTTAGGGCTAGAAGTTCTCATAATGGTTCTAGAATACAGGGGCCTGAAAAAAGTAGAATAAGGTTTGGTAGCATGTTAAGACATAGATATATGTAGGAACCTTAACTGTAGTGGCCATTGCTCCGGCTTGGATACCAGGGCTCGTGGTTTAGCATGCTTGGGTTCGATCGTTGGATTTAGGGTCGGCGCTTTTAGGGCGTGTCGGCGCGTGTGTGGCTTGTGAACAAAAGCCTTGTCCGTTCGATGCAAAATGTTTTTTTCTTTTCAAGGGCCTCTTTCTATTCCCGCAGCAGGTCTAGAGAGCCTCGAAATGTTTAGGGCTTTTGGGTTTCAGGGTTGGGGCTTCGAGTTCAGGATAGTACTTGGACGGGGTCGGGGCTTCGAGATTACCACCCGCATACCCGGCCGGCGAGGCAGAAGTACAGAGAGAGTGTGTGCTTCAAAGTGCGAGCAGTGCTCCTTTCCCACACTTTCCAGCGCGCCGGGACTGCAGGATATGCAAGCGGTAGTGGCCCAATAAAGTAGCAGGGGAAAAAAACTAAAGACGATCCCTTTCTAGTATATTTCTCGCTGTTGGGGTAATTATTGGGTCCTCTGTCTTTCGGAGCCAGGAAATTAGGCAATCTAGGCCTATACATGCTACCAGAGATGAAGTGGTCAAGAAAACCGACACCCTGAAGGCTCTCCATCATCATCATCATCTAAACCCTAAACCCCTAAACCCTAAACCCTAAACCCCTAAACCCTAAACCCTAAACCCGTGAGCATCATCAGGCTTTACCCTGTAGAGTTTCGAATTCAGGCTCTAGGTGGGGCTTGCATGGAGGTTCATGGGTAGTTATAAGTATATAGGGTTATAAGTTCCCCAAAATGGGCTATAAGTATAGCTACCATACTTATCAGCCCTACTTATAACTACCCTAAACTAGATAGAACCCTTCAAAGAGCCCCGAAACGCTTTGTAACCCCACTTACAACTACCCATGAACCTCCAAGTGGGGTTTAGGGATCAGGTCGAAACCTCCCAACGTACCATTGGTTAGTAGGGAATGGAAGAATGGTAGTAATAGTAGTTATAAGTGTATCCCGTTCCTCCATTCCCTGCTAACCCAAGGCAAGCCAATTGGCCTCCTCTAAACCCTAAGCCCTACAGATCCCTTAAATTAAAGGAACCCTAACCCTATGTATTCCCTAATTAAGGGATATTGGAGCCTCCTGTACGGCCAGGAAGAAGGGCGAGGACCTAAAGATGCCGTGCTTGACGGTGGAAAAGACCTCAGGGAAGCATGGCCAGGGTTCACTGTTTGGGGTTCACTGTTTGGGGTTTAGGGTTTAGGGTTTAGGGTTTAAGGTGGTTTAGGGTTTAAGGTTTAGGGGTTTAGGGTTTAGGGGTTTAGGGTTTAGGGTTTAAGGTGAAGGTTTAGGGTTGATTAGCAACGGCTTAGTTTAGGGTTTAGGGCCGAGGGTGGAGGTTCAGGGTGCAGGATTTAGGGCTTATGAGCAACGGCTTAGGGTTTACGGTGTAGCGATTCGGGTTCGGGGCTGAAGGTGTAGAATTTAGGGTTTCGGCCTCCAAAAACTTCCCAAATCCTAAACTTGAAAAGCCAATGCCCGAAAGCCCTCAAGATGGAAACCTTGAAGCCCTCAACCCAAGAATCAAACCCAGACCTCTCTAGAAAAGATTTTGTTTTTGGGGCGTCGGGCTGAACCGTAACCAGGTTCCCCAGCATCCCCGAAGCAGGATCTTCAACGTTGGAATTTCATAAGCAGACCCCAACAAGGTTACTACTGGAGCAGCTAATTGAGGGTGACTGATGAGTCATGTAGACCTGGGATCCTGACGGTTAGGCCCCTGAAGCGGGGGTGTGTAGTATTCAGGAGTCTACATGATCCAGCTTGGGATCCGGAGGCTGTTTAGGTTTTAGGGTTTAGGAGCTCCCAAGAAGGATCGCCGAACAATGCAAGAGCTTGGATCACACTGCAGGCTCACACCAAACCGTAGGAAGACCTGAAACGCGGAACGCGAAAACAGTAAAGTCAGAGGCTTTATCAACAGCGGAACTGCCAAAACGGCATGTTGAGCCTAGCTCAAGGGCCATATTTATGCGCCAGTGTGTTGGGATCCCGAATCAAAGGTTGAGGTTATGATCTGAAAGAGAAGATGAGCTCCGCAAACCCCCAAACCCTAAACATTGCCAAAACATTTGAAAATGTCTTTCTTGCAGCCTCAGAGCTAGTTCCCATTCCTGAGCCGGTTGCTGGGACATGAGCATCGTGACCGGGGTTTTGATCCTAAACTAGTAGGGTATAGTACGGGGTGAATGCTCAGGAAGTGGAGACACCGGTGTATTAGTATTGTATGCCGCACACCTTAACTCCAAACCCGACCCTGTTACAGTAACTGCCGCAAGAAAAGTCTAGAGCGGTGCCAAATCATCCTTTTTTCAGTATCCGACTTTTCGGGGCTTGCGGCACGCATATCCGAAACTCTAAGCGTGGCACAGCCTACGCTCTGCAGAGCCCTCATAAGTCACAAGAGTTCAGGGGCAACGGGTTCAGGGTTTCGTGGTTTAATTAGGTTCTAGGCTAGGTTGATGCACCTGCGGTGTTGCCTGTTGGCAGCTGGCGATGTATCGAATTCCCCTTGTCCGTTACGGATCTAGGTGTTCATTATACTGCAAACCATGCAGTCTCCAAATCATAGGGAGTTGCATGGGCCGCCTCCAATCTTGAAGCCTAGAACAGCGGGCCTGCACTGAAGTTCGTTGGGCCTTGATAAATTCTGAAACAAACAAAAAAAGGCCTACCTGCTGCAATCGTAAGGCTTGACTTCAGCACCTGTAAGACCCTTGTTACAACCCTACAGACACTTAACATGAATCCTTTTAAGACGCCTCCCTGGGTGAAGCTGGGGGACGCCGTCCAGAGCCTCGAGGCTAGCGGGCAGCGCCGGCGACTGCGGCAACAGCTCCTGCAGAGTTCAGAGTTGGTTTAGGGTTTAGGGTTTGGGGGTTTAAGGGTTTAGGGTTTAGGGGTTTAGGGTTTAGGGGCTTAGGGGTTTAGGGTTTAGTGGTTCAGGGTTTAGGGGTTTAGGGTTTTTCGTTGGGGGTGGTTGGAATAAGTGTCTCACGCGATTTCATCTGAGAGGGCCTAGCTACACCATCCGCCAGGGCTGCAGTGTGCTTAGAATCGTCTCCTCATCCTTTCAACTGTGGTGGCGGCGAAAATCAGACCAAATTCTGAACAGCGGAGGGGCTCCAGGATCAGCATCCTCAAGACCAACTTGACCATCATGGACAATGCCAGTATATCGCAGTGTCTTAAATTCTAATGATTACCCTGTACCGACAAAAGTCCTAAATGGGAGTTTCCGAAAAGACGGGACCTAATGTAGCACCCTACTAAATAGTAGGATCCTTATTATAAGGACCCCAAAAAACGGTACCCCAAATTTTCGGAAACACCCTTAAGAAACCCCTGGGAAGAATCTGCCTGGCCTTCAGAAGCCCCCGCGCCACGGCCATGCGCTCGGCGTAGTACTCCCCGGAAGTGGGATTGTAGGCTTGACCTTCGATCCAGCCATATAGGTTTAAGTTTATGCCCGCGCGATACGAGCTTTGCAGGGGTTCCAAGCCCTTAAACTAGGGTGATTGCAGTGTTTGACCTTCCGTTTTGGGTTTTAAGGGTTCAGGGCTTCAGGTGCAAGGGCTCGTGGGCTTATCGGTTCCGGGTTCAGGGTTCGTCTTTCAGGGTTGTGGTTTCCGGTCCAGGCGGATTGTAGGCTTGACCGTTTCGGATCAAGGGCCTTTGGGAATTTCGAGATGCCAGAGTCACAAGAGAGTTTTTTCTGAGGGCTACCTGAAAAGGAGCGTGTAGTTTCATAGTTAGAATTCAGCACTTATATGCATAGGTGAGCATATATATGTATATGTATATGTATATGTATATGCATATGCATATGTATATGTATATGTATATGTATATGTATATGTATATGTATATGTATATGTATACGTATATGTATATGTATATGTATATGTATATGTATATGTATATGTATGTGTATATGTATGTGTATATATATATATATATATCAGCAAATGTTTTTTGTGTTGCATCTCTCTCTCCCCCTCTGTACCTGTCTCTCTACATGTATATAGACATACTTATACCTGCAAAGAGCCCAAGTAATTCCATCCCCATTCTAATCCGCTTTGAGAAGTGGGGGGGGGGGGTTCAAGAAAAGAGAGTGAACCTCAAACCGGCTTGGCCACCATCTTCTGATTCAGTCGAGGAGCGGATGAAAACATTGCATGGGAAGATTCTACAAGAATAACGGACGAGAAGTCTTAAGCCCGTAACCTTAAATCCTAACCTCTAGCCTTGAACCCAAGCACAAGAGGGTTCTGATATGCGGGCCATGACGAGAAGTCTTAAGCCCTTAACCTTAAATCCTGACCTCCAAACCCTATAACCTCAACATCTAAGCCCTCAAAGCACTCCGGCCTGAGCTCGATTTGTAACGACCCAAACAAAAGAGGTCCTGATATGCGGGCCATTGCAACTTAGAGCAGGGCTTGGGGGTATGGTATATACTCATGTAGTCATGTATAAAATCGTAGAGCAGGGGTTGGGGGGTATTTTATATACTCATGTATTCATGTATACTATCTTTATGACGAGGAGTCCCAGAAGGAACAATGTAGTAGAATGTATACATAAAGTGGGGAGCCCTAACTAAGGAATAGCATTGGCAACAAATCCGGCCATAGTGAGGAACCCTGAGGAATACTCTTCCGATCAATTCCGATCCTTATGCCACCCTAAACTCTAAACTCTAAACCCTGAACTAAATCCGATCCTTGCGCCACCCTAAACTCTAAACCCTGAACTAAATCCGATCCTTGCGCCACCCTAAACTCTAAACCCTGAACTAAATCCGATCCTTACGCGACCCTAAACTCTAAACCCTGAACTAAAACCTAAACCCGAGCCACCTCGGTCCAGTGCGGCCGCCAAGCGCAAGAGCTTCCATTTCAGCTCCTCCCGGTTCTTTCTGTTGAGGTTTTGGGTTTTAGGTTTCAGGTTTTGGGCTGTGGGTGTGGGCCGTTTGGGGTTTTGGGTTTGAGCTTTGGGGTTTAGGGTTTGGGGTAGGGTGGAATACAGGAATCAGGTTCTTACTAGTACATGTTTTTGGGGTTGAGGTTGTTCGCAGGCGACATGGACAGGCTCGAGGTGTACTGGATGCGGCAGGTACAGCCGACGGAAGCGATCCCTAAACCCTAAACCCTAAACCTGTCGCCAGGAGGCAGAGATGAAGGTCTGCCATCCGTCTTCTTCATGCGTTGCCCTTTCGAAACCCCGAACCCCAAAACTTCCTGAACGTCCTCGAGACGCTGAAGACTGGCGATAGGGGACTGAATAATTCGACCTGAGGCGGTATGTAGGTTTAGGGTTTAGGGACTTAGTGAAGTCGGTTTAGGGACTTAGTGAAGTCTGTTGGAGGAATTTTGAACTAAAGCTAATGTTCAAGAAGTGTAAAGCCCTGCACCGTAAACCCTGAACCCTACACCCCCAAGCCCGAAACACTGAACACCGAAAACCTGACCCGTCATACCTTATAGGAGCCCCAGAACTAAATTTTCCTGCACCGTGTCGGTTGCACCACCGGTAGATGTAGACGTGGAGGGCGCCTCGGGAAACATCCGCTACACCCATAGTCTCCATTGTAGCTCTTTTTTTGGTTAACCAAATTTAGGTTATAGGATCCTAACCATGAAGATTGGTTTACCAAAAAAAGGAACTACAATGCAGACTATAGGTAGAACACTTAGGAGTTTCGAGCCTTGAGGAGCAGAGCCATGAAACAGCTGCACCAAAGGCTCGCACCAGAATAAACCCCAAACCCCAAACCCTAAACTCTAAAACCCCCAGATTGACCTTTGAGGAACCAGGAAACCACAAATCGCACCCTTGGCAACGAGGGGAACTCATATGACGGTGTTCTTCCTTGACTTGCTCTGAAGACGGCAAAACAGAGCCTCGAATAGCAAGATTTGGGCATCTCATGTAGGGGCATGTAGGAGCTATAAGAAATTCGAACAGGGTGTTGGCGTGCGCTTCTTGCAAAGCCCTGCAGGCTTGCAAACGCAGCAGAACTTCAATACCAAACCCTAATTCCGTAACTTCCCAACCATAACCGAGAAACCGCAAACCGAGAAGAGTCAAGCCAGAAAACCAGAGAGCAACGAAAGCGATTGCAGCTGAGCACCGACGCGAGCAAAGGTAGACGTCCTTGCACTGCAATGGGGAATTAACATCAAGGTTCAGTTCCCTAACCCCCTTATACCCCAAACCTACCTCAAGACTGGTTTCCTCATTCTTGTCAGTCTTTTTGTGTCTGCCCAGGTCATCCTGTAGACAAAATCGCAAAGAAGCCTAAGCACAGACCTGCTAGGGAACGTTTCAGATTCAGAATTGCAAAGGCCAGTTATATATAGGAAGCATCTGAGACGTAAGCTGGCAATGGCAGTCCCGGTCTCTTGGGTGTGAGGCCTGAGGGGCCTCACGGCTCCAAGGACAGGGTTTAGGGTTCGCATCGAGATTAGAAATTGCGCACTTGAGACTTGAGATTTACAATTTCCGGGAGCAGGCTCTCGGGCTAAACCTTAACACCCATATGTAACTCCAACCGAAACCTATATAGGACACCGCCGAGCGCCGCAAGCCAATAACTCGACGGCCATATACCCGACGTCCTGCCTGTTGCTTTTTGGCGAAAGCCTACTAAAGAAATCTGAAAATTTAGAATTCTGAAGGGCGCAGATAAACCTTTTGCTGGAGGTCTCAGGATAGAACCCTTTCGACAGCTTATAAACACCCGATCAAAGCCCTAAACGCCGACTGTACGACCATGCCAAAAGGGGGGTTTAGGGTTCAGGGGCTACTGCACGACCCCATACTCAAATTAATTCGCACCCCTCAAAGGAACCCTAAACCCCCTTGAAGGAACCCTTGAATTAAAGGAACCCGAAAGCCCGTCAAAAGTTCCCATACAGGGAACTCCAGAAAGTTGGAATATGGTTTCATGGTAGGATACCCTATCATTTACCATAGAAGGGTTCGGATAATCATATTCCAACTTTCTGGCTTTTACCTTAAGGGACGAGAGTGTCTCAGGCCTGGAGACCGTGTCTTCGAAGCACCACGGAGGGGCGCGACCCAGGTTAGGTCGAGGGGCCTTGGCTGAAGGGGCTCCTTTGAAAGAGATCTTTGCAAGGCTCTTCAAAAGTGCTCTTCAAAGAGTTCTATAAGCTTTCTATACTGGTTACTTTGAGGGCTTAAGGGTTTAGGGCTTCATATAGATTCCTCAAAGGATTCGTGCTTCATTTTTAAGGGCTCTGCAAGGCTTCTTTCACGGGGTCTATGAGGTTTCTGCTGAGTTTTGCGTGCTGAAGGCCTGAATGTTAGGACGAGGACTGATCGGCGAGGACCTTGCGGCTGGATAGTATTGAGATCAAGGAACTTGAAGGAATTGTATTTGATGTTCCGGCCAAGATCGGGTTTCTGGTTTCAGTAGGTCGTTTATGGCTTGCATATGTATGCGTGCTCAGGGTGGCCTGTTTGATGACTCAGAATGCTAGCTACTCAGTTAGAAGGCATGACCAGGCATAACCATGCTTGACATATTGACACGCAGCAAAACAATATCAGCCCCTAACTCCAAAAGCTCGAAACCCTGGACCCTCCAAACCCCCAGCACACACCCTGAAGTACTAAGCTCCTACACCGCCGCTGTGCAAACCCCCTAAATCTTGAGGGGGCCACCTCAGTGCGCACCAGGTCAGAAGCGCCAGCAGCAAAGGGCCCGAGCGGGCCATGGCGGTGTTAGGGGGTCTTCGTGCTCTTCTTGCCTACAATTACCATAAAGGGAACTCCAGAAAGTTGGAATATGGTTTCAGGGTAGGATACCCTATAATATACCATAAAGGGTTTAGGATAATCATATTCCAACTTTCTGGCTTTTACTTTAGCGTGCGATAGCTCCCAAAGCCGCTTTTGGGTGGGGGGGGAGGGGTTACGGCGGTTCGGGCGTGTCTGGGTAACTTAAAAGTCATAAAGACTCACAACAACCGAGGGGACAGGCCATCAGGTTTTAATGCTTGAAGCTTCGGCCTCGGCCTTTGACAGAGAATTTCGGGCTCAGGACTGTAGGGGTCTAAATGTCGTGAGACTTTAGGAGCTTTCGTGTGGGAACACCTGTGAGAATACTAAACACTGCCAGGGGCTGCCATGAGCCCATGCATGCTTCGATAGAACGGGTCTTTGAAGGACATGGCCGAAGATAGGTCTGGATGATCCCTGGTTCAAGATTCAAGATACACTATAGGTGTCGATTGCAAAAGTCTCCAAACATGATTTGGATTTCATTCTCTATATTCAAGGGAATCTAACAATTTTCCCAAATCGATACCCAGTACAAGTCTGCGTTTCACGCTGACCTCTATACAGGTCAGCATGGGTTGGAGCCAACAATCCAGGGCCGGAGAGAACCTTTATGGCTTGAGGCGACGGGGCTTCTCTAGAGCTGCCGGGTTTTTGGAGCTTTGGCGAGCAAATGCACGAATATTAAGACCCTGCGTACCTCTACTAATAACCCCTTTAAAGGTGCGGGGGTTGATTACGCTGAAACCCTAAACCGCCTGCAAACAGCGACGCCCTGGATGCGCCATCTCCCTAGCCCAAGGCGTAAACCCTGTAATTAAACGCTAAACCTCCTGCAAACCCTACAGAACCCCTCTGAAACACTTCAAGGAACCCTTAAACCCTTAACCCTGACGGCACACGTTTCCACTCGTCCTTCTCCCTCATGGCTTCGAGGCACCATCGAAAGTCTAGCTCAAGAGTAACCCAAATTAATTTGGGGGGCTAAGGTGCCTTGTCAGGCTTCCTGGTTCTTTTTGCAGGGCTAGCTGTCTCAACCGCACCCAACTTACGATGCAGCTTCGCACAAGCATGTAGAAGCTTTGAACATGAACCTACTAAGGGCTTCGAGGGGTCTTTGCAGAATGTATTTATGGGTGTCTCAGGAAAAACGTCACAACTTACTTCTTCAGGCCCCATGTTCATCACCTTTTTGCACTTCGTGCGACGTGCCACCCTGCCTCCCCGATGAGGGGAAGGGGCTAGCCGGTGAAACTGCCCACAGCATGAGCCAACGGGTCGAGGTACCAGAAACAGACAAGGCCTTTTGGAAGACTTACACTAGACCCAAGAGTTGCCTGGGAATAAAAAGGGTGCCTTTTTTGGTTTCAAGGGGCTTATAAGGGAACCTGAACCCTGCAAAAAGGGAATAAGGGCCTACTTCAGGTCCTAGTACAGGACGGTGTAGGGCTTGATACCTAGCAGAGGATGCTGGGGTTTCGGGGCTCAGGAATTTAGGAGCCAAAATGGGATGAATGGAGTCTTGGGCAATCTGGATTTCAGATACAGAGGGACTGCGCTTGCACAGTGTCAATGACACCCACAAAATCAACACATTCTACACCTTAAGGAGCCAAAAACGCTGGGTTGTCATTCTGAAACTACATAAACACCGGCAACAAGAGCACGAGGTATAGTAAACAACATATCCCAAGGTGTCATGAACCCTGACACCCCTCACTACACCCTAAGTCCTAAACCCCACAAACCCTCCGTAAACTTAGATATAGCCAGAGCCTAACTGGGTTGGACCCAAAAGCTCGGAGGGGACATTGTGTGAGACGTGGAGATTCCATCTGGTGCCATGGAAGTTCTTGTTGGGGTCGAGGGTTTCAGGGTTAGGGTTTTAGCATTATTAAAATTTGAGGTGATTTCGAGCTTGGGGTTTGGATGCAGCGTCTTCGTGCCTAGGGCACCTAGACTAGGGTGTTGTGGATCTTAGAGGGCTGAGAACTTGTAACCTACAGTTCATGAACCCTAACTCTGCTGAAGTCTCACCCCAAAGGGTCCTATGTACTGTTATGGGGAATACTTCCCTAAGTCATAATAGCAATTCTACTATATCGGTACATAGGACCCTGTGGGTACATTCGCTCACTTCATCTTCCTCTTGGTCCTGACCCAGTCGAAGTTGTTGCGCCGGTGGACCTCAGCTGACCACGGCCCTCTGATACCTAGGGTTTAGGGTTTAGGGTTCCAGGACAGCCTTAAATTGCAGGTCCCTACATAATTACTAGCCCATGTAACTTATATATTGGGATGCTATGGTCTACAATCCAGAACACCCTGAAATTGCAAGTACCTGGATACTATGTGCGGTTTACTGATGTATTGGGATACTAATTACCAGGCCATGTGCTAGGAGGTTAAGAGTTCAGGGTGTTCGACGGCGTTAAGTACAGTGACCCAACGTGTGGTTTGTACCCTAAGGCCCCAAAGTAGTTCCTTTTTGGAGTTCATATTTAGAATCCTATAAGGTAATCCCCAAAAGGAACTACTTTGGGGCCTATGTAGGATTCTAAATATGAACTCCAAAAAGGAACTACTTTGGGGCCTTAGGGTACCGAGAAAGGGTTTTAAATAGATGCGAGCTGGGTTCGGATTTAGGGCTCAGGGCTTGCCGGCCTTTGGCCTCGGCGTGGGGGGGTTTTTGGGCTTATGCTTAGAGCTGCGGGTGTAGATGCTGTGGGCCTTTAAAAGCTTAATGTCCGGGTGTATGCAACGAGCAACAGTAGAGTACGACGGATGGTGCATGGCTTCATAGATTCATGGTAGAGGCCGAAAACAGTGAAGTGCTCTAGCTGCTTGGTAGTCCCACTCAGTAAGCTCACCAAGAAACCATCTAGAACCGTAGGCTCCATGAGACGGCAAGTATGATCCAAACCCCGCGTGAAACCTGCAACTTGAAGCCTACTTGGAGGGGCAGTTTTAAGTAGGGTCATTCGTGGGTAATTAGACTTGTAACCCCACTTATAACTTACCCATGAACCTCCAAGTAGGCGAAACACCGCGAAAAACGAGGCTCTGAAGATGCAATTCTAAGAACTGAGAGTGAGACCGTCGGGTCCTTGATCATGTGGCTGCTGTAGAACAAACCTTTTAAGGCGTCATCCGGTTGAGGTTTCCCACCGTGTGGTTGAACCGAGCTGCCGAGCATGAGACATGCTTTCTCTTGCAGCCCCTACAAACAACTACACGTAGCATGGGTGCAGGTATCTATCCACCTATCTGTCTGTCTAATATATATATATATATATATATCCATTAATGCTGTACGCACACATAAAAATATATATATATATATATATGCTCACGCCCCCCCCCCCCCCTGAGATGTAACCTGGACGTGTATCCCCTCGCTAGGCGTACAGGAACACAGGCACTCAGGTGTCTCTTTTGCTACAGGCGCACAGCTGTAGTCCACTGCACTAGAACCTTGAGCAACAGGCATGGATACATGCAAGTGATACGTGAAACAGACAGGCACCTGGATGTGTAACATTCAGTGTTTCAACCAGGCACAAATTTAAAACACGTAGAGCTGCATGGCCGTGGAGTCGGCATTCAACTAGCCTGTTATTGCTCTCGGTCGAATTAGCGAAGTATTGAGCTACATCTGCGACTTGAAGAGAATCTATACATCTCTCACCTGAAGACAGCTTCAATGAAAAGAGCAGAACACGCACGAAAACGCAAACGGATCTTCAACTGAAAACTTTTGCTTGAAAGTTGCCCACTTGTGTTCAGTTTCCTCTCCAGGCGGAAAGCTTACTGTCACATAAAAGATTGTAGAGCTTAGCTCCACTTGATGCCAGCATGACATCTTGCGACACGGCAAATATATAAGGGCATGAGAAGTATCTTATCCTGAGATAAGTATCTTCTTTCTGACAAGGTCTTTAAGGAAGTACCTCTTCATGAGAAAAGCATCTTCCTATGAAATGGCGAATGCTCAAACTGGATACCTTCTTATGAAAGAAGCATTCCGTGAAACACTCACTCCACTTCTTCCATCGGACCTTGGTTCATCACCCTCTGGTTGTACTGCTCCACCCTACGACGAGTACGAGGACTGTCATCAGGATGAGGCAAATGGTGGTGAGGGTAGTACCATCTCTCCAAATGCCAGTGAAAAAGCTGCAGGCGAAATGGGAACCACGGTCTATCACCAAAGGATGCTGGGCCAGGACCAACGTCTTCGTCAGGAACGTCAACGTCTGCGTCCTCGCCCTCATCTGAACCTAGTCAGTTTTTGCCCTTGGACTTGCCTTGGACTTGTCCTTGGTCTTGCCCTTGGACTTGCCCTTGTCGGCGTCCTTGCCTTTTCCTTTGGAGGACTTGCCTCCTTTGCCGCCTTCTTTGCCACCAGGAGGTTGTGCGGGTTCTTGAGGACGTTGAGAACCAGAAGCTTTAGCACCAGAAGCTACCTCTTCCTGAGAAGAGCTTGCTCCCTGTGGTGCGGCTGCAGGACCAGTAGAACCAGAACCACGCGCCTTGTTCAGCTTCTGTCTCTCTTTTCTTCTGTCCGCGGCTTCCTTCACGGTGTCGGGATTGCGGTTGAGCGCTCTCATCCTGCCTCCAGAGTACTGGTTCGCGTGAACCTCGATGAGGAGCGGAGTGTGAGCGTCATAGTCCCGATCGTTGAGAAGGTACGCGGCGCTGGTGGAGTTTAACAGCCACTCAGAGACATGGATGTCGAACTCAGTCTTTGAAGACGGAAACTCCGCCCATTGATCGTCCGACATGCTGTGTCCCCATTCCATGACTGTAGCCATAATAGGATCCAAACCAGGAAAAGTATTCCAGTCTGGTTGCTTAGCTTCCTTGTATGGCATTCCCAGCGTGTCCTCATACTGTTTCAGAAGCCACATGGCGTTTGCTGACACATGTCTCGCACGAGGCGAACAGAAGTGTGGGCACTTTGGGCTTTCTGACCATGCCTCCAAGAAGTAGTCGAGAAGGCTTTGGTACATCCCGCCACGGATATCCATCGACTCCTGCTTTCTGCCGGTGGCCCGGTAGAGGGCCATGTTGGCGTCGCCACCGATGAGGTCGACTTGGTAGTGCAAGCAGTCGATGAACATGTTGCCCAACACTTCATGAGCCAACGCCACCTTGTCTGCCGCCGCGTCGTTGTGGAGGTGGAAGACACAAACTCTAGCCGGTCGGATCCAGCTCGCTCCAAGACCTTGGTCAGTGACTCATCTGGAACATCACCACGACTGCCCTGGAGACCGGTCGGTAACGTCATGCCATACACGATTTCCGCGACCATATAGGTTATTGGAAGGGACTCGTGGGCATATCCACTGAGAGTGGAGCCGGCAAGACGGGTGATCGAAGATCCGACACCATTTGTACGACTTCCCACCATCAGGTCCTTGGACTCGTTACGAAGGAATTGCCAACCGCGTGACTTGAGGAAGGCCTCTTCGGAGTCATCGATCTTAGCCGCTTCGCAGAGCATGAACAAATGCGTCTTCGACTGTGCAATCGATTTTATCAAGGCTCCTTTTGATGGTGTAGCATCGTCCCAGTCAATGTGATTAGCAACGGAGCTAGGAGCGGAACGCTTTCTTCCCCTGCTCATGTTGCCGAGATTGAGGATGAGCGCGGCATACTTGGTCTTGCTGGTGAAGATAGGGACATTGGAGTCCTCTGCCAGACCAAAACGATGAATATAAGGATTCGGCGTCTTCTCAAGAGAGAGGTCCCCGATCTCCTCTTCATCGACTCCGGTGCTCAAGAAGTAGTGAAGCATAGCATTCAAAAGTTCTTCTCGAGTTGCCGGATTGCCGCTTGCATCCAGGGACTTCAGCTTATCAAGAAGTGCTTCCATAACATCCAGTGCTGATTCTCGGATGTCAGAGGCCTTGCCCATGAGCTTGTCGTCCAAGGTGCTACGAACGTCCCCAGAACGAAAAACAACGTCCTTTTTGTCGGGACGACGCTCATAGATGGGATCCATCTTGTTGAGTTGGTCGAATAGATCCACCATAGAGAGAGAGTATTTCTGTCCCTTGTGGTTCGGAACATTTACCCTCCAACTCATATGCTGCACCTTGTAGGCGAGAACGGGCTCGTAATCAGGATCACGAAGTCCTGTATGATACAAGCCTGAATAGCCATATCCATGCAGCTGCTTGCAGAGCATCCGCATAGGGCTTTGTCGTTCGATTTCGGTGAGCTGATTAAGGAAATGTTTGAACTCTTCGAGATCAACGAGCTCGATCTTTTCCTTTGCCTTGCCCATTTTGTCGAACGCGTTCTCATTCTGGTCCTCTGCATCCTTCGCGGCCTGGTAGTACTCAGGATCCGGAACAGTCTTGCATTTCCCCCAGATGCCTTGATCGTGAAGTTCACTCTCATCATCCTTCTCGGGAGAAATGTCTGGCATGGATTCCTCACCCTGTGGTGAGCCTTCCTCAGCCATTTCAATGTTCTCGGACTTACCTCCTTCCTGACCCATGTGCACATCAGGTTCGACCTTCACCTCGGATGCCTCTCCCTGTGGAGAGCTTTCCGTGGCTTCGGTCTCCATTGGCTCGACAGTAGCCCCAGGTACCTCTCCCTGTGGAGAGCTTCCTGGAGCATCAGTCTCCATTGGCACATCGGTCGGCTCGGTCTTAACCGGATCAACCTTCTTGCCCTGTGGCAAGTCCGTGGATCCAGACGACGGTTCGGAGGTATCCATCTGAGTAGCCGCGGGAGGCTCTTCGATCTCCTCGATCTGTGGACATGGGAGTCGCTCGATGAACTCCTCAATCATAATGTCGTCATATGGTCGGGTGAGGAGCTCATTCAGCTCAGACTCCTTCTTCGCCTTCAAGTCTTCGTACGCCACTAAGTCAGCTTTTGCCTTGCGGGCGAAAGCCGACTTGAAATCGCGCTGGTCAGACTCAGCGAAGACTTTCTCCAGAACCGCCAGGAGGTAGCTGCCGTTGAAAGGCTGCTTCAGGGTACTGTCGTAGAGACAATAGCCCTCAGGGGTTCGCACCGTGTATTTACGGCGAACCTCCAGATCACCGGCGTGGCGCTGGATGTAGGAGAAGAAGTCCACTCCATAAGCCTCATTGATGACGCGGACGAGCATCTGGAAATCCTCTCGCACATAGCCAACCTCTTCATACACATACCTTTCCCTGAGG